CAGATGAGCAATATTGCAGGGGAAAAAATGTAAGCTGTGTACTTGATATGAGGGGCTCTTTGTGAAGAGAGGCAAATAATTTTGCTTATTTGCTTATTTCGTTATTTTGGGAGGAAGCAACCCCCTTCTTTCTCTTCTTCCTCCACATCTTTCCCCCCAAATTAAGGTGTCTTTTCTGAGTAAGAATATGTGACCCAGCATTTTGTTTCCCATGCATCTCTTGTAGTTTAACATTCTACAGGTAATCATACAAATAACTATGATTTTTATTTTTCAAAATACTAATCTGACTTCTCATTTTTAAACATTACACTAGGAGTGAAAATAACCATGTAAAAGAAAATCAAATTACAAAGTAGATATTAGACAAGATTGTTTTGTGCGTGTGGCTGACGGTCACTAACTGTGTGGAGGCTGCACAACAGTGTAGAGACAAGTAACAGATTGTGAGACTAGACATGGGATCGGTCATTGCTTTCCAGTGTGTGTTCTTGTGGGTGTAGTTCACAGGTGCTGCAATGGGCAGTGTGTGGCATAGTGTGATGGAAACAGTTTGGAAAGGCTGCATTTCGTCTCGGCTGTTTTGTAGCCTGTAAGCGTCTCTGAGCTGGGAGCTTGTGCTACCGTCCCAGTGTAGGGGCCCCAGTACGGGCTGGTGCTTGCAGAGATGCGCCCAAATAACCGCTGTTATTCCTCCCTGCTACTGCGGTTGAAGACAAGACTCTTGAATAGATTTGTCCATAGTTTCTGCTATCTGTTGATCAAGTTCTTGGCCTCACTCAAGTTATTTGAAGTGATCAGAGGGTGCATCTGTCTTAGCAGGTAGCTCAGCTTACTCGGAGCAGATCAAAAGACAAAACCTTGGTGCCCAATTCCCTATATCTACTCCATGTGCAGTTCACAATTTTTGCTTTGGACTAGATTCATTCTGGTCCTCTGGAGCAAACATTCCCAGCACTCAGCTGGTACAAAGCCATCTGAAAAACCAGTTGCTATTTGACACCCTTACACCTCTGTTAGGAACTGGAGCAGATCTGGTGCACATCTGGAGTGGAGATTCTGGTTTAACTTGAATGCACACCAGTACCACCTTGCAGCCTGAGATTGTGTGCGAGAGTTGCGGGAGTCACTTCAAAATCACAACATGGCTCTGAACCAAAATGCTGATCCAGGTGCAGCTGGAGACTGACAAAATGAGGATTCCCCAGCATGGAGCCATGTCAAGAGTTGTTGGGGATAAAAGAAAAAAACCCAATGGCCTTAGTAGGATTGAACCATAGCTCAGCTGGCAGGAATGAAAGCAGATCTGACACTGCTGTGTCTGGAACAAGGGTTGTCCTTGCAGAAAGCGAAGATAAACAAATGCAATGACAGATTAAATCCCTTCCTCTCACTGCTGTGGATTTTGTCCATCATTGGCATGTGCTCTTTAAACTGCAATAGAAAAAGTTTGTCTGTTGTTGGGGAATGGTACGACCAGAGCCTGTGAGTCTGTTTTAGTAGGCCTTAGTTGACATGAGTCGAGTGGAATTTTCCCTTACATACAGTTAGCTGCTACGTGCAATTTGGTGAGAACAGGCTGGCCTTGTGGGATAAGAAATGAAAACAATGTTGTAGAGGGAGTAACCTTGGTAAGCGGGATGCGCTGATATGGTTTTGCTGACCCTGTGAGAACTGCATGCAGGAGAGCAGTGCAGGTCTGTGAACGTAACCTTTAGTATTATAACCAATCACTTTCATGCTTAATAGTATGATGTAGTTAATCACCAATCACTTAATGCCTAGTGTGAATGAGCTAATTATAAAGATTAGTATATAAGGCTTTGTGGAAAATCAATAAACGGAGCTTGCTGATCACTTATATTAAGTGCGCATGTCTTCCTTGCATCGTCCTCTTCCCGCCGGAGCGGTTGACAACAGTCTGTCAATATGAGTTTCACTGGTGTGTGGCCTAGTTATGTCCAGACCTTCTGGTAGGATGAAAGGTGCGGTGCAGCTTGTGGGTGTTATTTCTGGTCCCAGCTTCGAATGGGCCCAAGGTGGTGGCAGAGGGAGGACTGGGACCTGTGGCAGTGCTGCAGGGACACCATGTCCCCAGGAGGCTTGAGCACACTCAATAACATGTTTACAGAGGTAAGGTTACAGACTTGAGGCTGAAGAATTTTTCCACCTGTTTACTCAGTGAGATTTGCTATTTAAAACCAATAGAGTACAGGATGATTGGGCATTAAGTGTGAACTGTGTTGAGGTAAATAGTGGGTTTGCAGCATCTGCTTGGGTCAGACTCTATTCTGGGCTTTTCAGAGGTACTTTATACCTTGCTTTCTAAGTGTTACTGAAAAGTACATATGCTAAATGGTAGTGTTGTTTCTGGTCACTATGGTAGAACCTCCTAACATAAGTCTACAACTAAACCAGGACATATTCTCTCTATAACACAGACTAAATACAGACTTTGCTTCAAATACATAGGTGAGAGCAGTTGCACAGGGTTTATGCTTTCCAGCTGGCAGTGGTGTCCTATGTCATGCTCTTGGTTAGGCAGAGCTCCTCTCCGACCTCTTCCTTCTCTCTGATGCAAACTCACCTCCTCCCTCCTCCTTTAAACCACATCAGATGCTGCATGCAACAGGGATGAGTTTTATCTTTGTATCTTGACAACAGCTGAATGCACAGTCATTTATAAACTTACCAATTTTTATCTCATTTTTAGCCCATAAAATTACCTTTACAAAGGAAGTGTGTGTTGTTGCTATTTTCTGTTCCTAGATGTTTGACAAATGTGCTACTTATTACCTTGTAACCAAATTAAAAAGTGCAGTGGAATGTAAGTGGTGGCATGCAAGGTAATTTTGTCAGCAGATGAACTCTAGAATGGGTTATTTTGCTGCACCTGATCTTGGTCCTGGTTTTGCTTATATGAAAAAATTTAACCTCTATAAACTCTTTCATAGGAGGAGTAACAAATACAGCACAGTATCAAAACAGGCTCATGGTCTATGATCCTAAGCAGGTGGGTATCTGTGTTGTATGTCGTTTTTTTTTTCATATGTTTTGCTTAAAACAGGTCTCTTGGCAAATATATACAGTGATTGTGTAAGGCTAAAAATGATCACCCTTTGGATTAGTGGTGTTTTAAATTCACTTTGTATTGATGTGCGAGTTCAACAGAGTAATGGAGACCCGGACTTTTTATTACGTTTTTTTAAGCCTGTAGGTGTTAGAAACAGATTAAATACAGAAATGTGCTTTAAATCCCTTGTATTTATCAGTATTTATTTTGCTTGTTCTTTTTTTTTTTGGTAGTCCAGCAGCCCTGAGCAATGTGTACTCAAAGGCAGTGTCATGAAACTGCTTCTTGTCACTGGCGTTTTTGCTTTGAATTGCATGTACAGGCTTTTTGTTTTCTGCATACTTTCAGAACTATCCTACCTGGCTGTGACTTATTCAGCTGACTGCAAGGGTGCCTGTCATTTCATTACCCAAGCACCTAAAATATCTTTTAGGGATTATTTCATACATTATGTATGTGTTTTGATTAGGTTAGCATGGCTCAGTAACCATTTCAGAGGGTTAGGGCATGTGGTTATGCCCTCTTGCTTGTATTAGGAATTAGAAGTCCTAAGCTTGCAATCAGAGTTGCATAGCCTGATTTACACCTGCGTGGAAGAGTATTGACTTTTCTGATTGTAGGATAGGGGCTTTAATTGCTGTATTTGGAACCAAATTGTGCCAGGAGATAGTTCTGTGTGGTTCCCTCTGACTTTTTAAAGCATAGCACGTACAGGTCCTGAAGCAGAAAGCAGACAGTGACACACTTGCCTCTTTCTATTTAAGGTGCAGTTTTATGCATCGATTGTACAAATGCCGATTCTCTCCTAAATCCAAGTAGCAATTACAGGCAGCAACCTTATTTTGCTTAAGAGGAGGACACTGTTATTTAGATATCATGTCTCTGTTGTGTCACTTTGATTCTTTACTGGCTGACCTGAAAGTTGCACCCCAAAATACCAGTGGCAGGGCTGCTTCAGCATCCCGTGCTGATGGCGAGAAACCTGGCCCGGCGTCTAAAGAGTTACAGAGGAAGTGTGCGCTCGCATTCTTCAAATGAGGTCCGCTTCATGTTTGTACACACAAGCTCTTTTTAAAAATTCTGCTGGCATATTGTTTACGGTGGGTGCTGGAAACCATCACATCTGCTTGCATCTCGCACGGAATCTCAATAACTCCATCATTCAGCACCAGCGCTTGCTTCTGCGCGAGGCCTTTGTGGCGAGTCGATAATGCCTGCCATCTGCCACAGAGCACACAGCTACCTGCCAACAAGCCGGCTGGGGTGACCTCTGCTTCCCCACCACTGATTAGTATTCACACACTGGCTTATTAGAAATGACCCCACCAGGCCCCTCTGTTTCTTTGCCTTTGCAGTGCTTTGCGGCTCACCTGGCAGGCACTGCAGTGGAGGAAGCTAAAGATATAATCAGGGGATGCAGGCAGGCTTTGCAAAGCAGATGGCGTCTATAGTCTGGTGTTAAGAGACTGGACTACTAATGCAAACATTAATGCCTAATATTCAACTATTAGACATTGAAATGTATAGCTATAAATTGTGGAGGTTAAAAGGCAGTAGTATTAGAGGCTCTTGAGTTACCACAAGCGGCAGCACACGTAACGCAAAGAATTTCCTCACAGATTTTAACTTCCTCCACTTAAATAAATTAATCTCATCCATTGCCAGGTTGTTTGATTCGGTAAGTGTAGCAGGAACAATTGTTCTCTTAGGTTTAAAATACTGCGCTTTAATCCCTCTTCTTTCCATATCCTTTCCCCCCCCTTCCCTCAAAAGGTAGAATTATTTAATGTTGTTAACCAGGAAGAAAAATAAGCAATAGGACATTACTTTTTAAGTGCCCACAAGTAAAGGGTTAGCATTAAACCAAATACGTGACTCATTTGAGAAGATTCTTTAGGAAATTATTTTTCCCTGTTGCTTCATTCCCTGAGGATAAGATCAAATAAGCTTCTGAGTAAAGGAAGGTAGAAGAATCTCTCTCTCATAACAGAGCTAGTTGGCACAGATAATTTTAGCACTATATACAAAGGAGACATCTAATAGTCTTGCTTAAGGAGAATTTGCTTCTGAATTCTGAAGAAGAAAAAAAGCTTTGAAATGATGAGCTAAACAGAAAAAATACAAAGCAAGAAATACTGTTAATGAATTTAAATGTGAGAACTGTAAACCACGTGTTGAAAGTCTAGTATGTCTAGTCAGTGTTATAACCACCGTGCATGTTTAACCTGTGAACAGCACAAGTAGATACACCTGTGATTTCTGGCCAAGGGTAAGGAGAACACCACTAACATGCTACTATTGTTGTACTGCTAATATAGGTGTGTCTTGGAGCAGTGCTGAGCCGAGTTCTCTTTTCCTTTCCAGAATAAGTGGTTAAGCCGTAGCCCGATGTTGCAGAGGAGAGTGTATCACTCCATGGCTGCTGTCCAAAGGAAACTTTATGTGTTAGGTGGGAATGATCTGGACTACAACAACGATCGGATCCTGGTCCGGCACATAGACTCCTACAGCATAGATGCTGACCAATGGACACGTTGCAGCTTCAACATGTTGACAGGCGAGTACTGTGCACCAAAAGAGGAAACTCACTACTATTAGAATAAAACACAAATTCTTTTCCCTTTAGTGCCTTTAGTATGTGGCACTCCACGACTTTGCCTCAATTGCCTCTGATTTAGGGGCCATCATTGGCCAACAAGACACTTTTGATTACTGTTCTGGCATTCAGCGTTCTATGAAACATTTTTCTTAGGACGTTGTAGGATAAATTTTTAAGAAGGTGCACATAAATGTAATTTAATTAAGCAATCAAAAATTATTTGTGATAGTATTACCAGTACTTATTTTCAATTCTCCAAAAGCTTGCCTGCACTGATAGATTTAGGTCCATGTATGAATGTTCAACAGGCAGATCCATGTCTGCCATGATATTGTTTTGTAGCTCTTCCTGCTTGCATTATAGAGCATTGAACTCCATTAACCATCATTTATTTCTAAGCAATATCTTCTTAATAAATTACCAGAAAGGAGGTGTGTCTGTTGGAATTCTGTCAAGTCAGCAATGGATCTGTAAAGTTCCTCTTGAGCATGGTCAGGAGGAATTGTTACAGTAGCAACTTGCAAAGCACTGCAACTCAGTGTCCCTGCCACCCAGTCCACCAAATTTCACTGCCACTTTATACAATTCCCAGCTCTACTACCTCCTCGAGTCCCTGGGGGAGACAGGCACGTGATGCATTCTCAGAGCAACACATCAGCAGCTTTGCAGAGGATACATTTCCAGGACAGCATTAATGTTGGGGCCATTCTCTTGTGCAGCAGACTCCGAGGTCTCTTAGTAACAGTACTGGCTGCCAAAAAGTCTCAGCGCAGGCTGCTATAGGAGTTCCTGAACTGAGCCTACCTCACTCTTCATCCTCTTCCATTTGGCATTGCGTTGATTTCTGAGATCTACCACTGAAAACGATACAAAGGATGTGGGAGCTTAGCTAGAAACAGTGTCAAAGAAATGAACATCTAACAAATAAGACAGTCACCTTCTGTCATTTTCCACTGGCTAGGTTTTAAAAGCTGCTCTAGTGGCAACTTTGTTCTTTAAGATATACTGTATTGGGTTTCTTAATCTGTGGGATCTGGAGAAGGGTTGCTTGGTTTCTGAGTCAGGTCATAGCATTACTTAATGGACATTGGGGAGAGAGGCATGGATTAAAAAGGAGGAGTTACAGACTGTCAAACAGCACTAGTTTTTCATATCTCTTTTGCTCTCCATTTAATTATTTTATTATCTGGAGGAATTGACAGCCTTTGAGGACACCATTGGATTTGCACCTGCTATAGTGCTGGCACTGCAGGCACCCTTGTTCTAGAGCTGACCCCATACCACTAAATGCTGTGAGATAGTAGCCTGTCCTCAAGTACAACCTGGTGGGTTGTTTCCACAGCTGGCACCTTGAGAAGCCATCTAAGCCTTTCTTTGTGTCTCTGCAACTGGCGGTAAATGTCCTTGTTGCACTGTGTGGTGCCAATTTTTTTAAGGCTGTATTTATCCTTCAAAACTTCAGACTTGTTCAGGAGCCCATTGCTATGGGAATGAGCTTGCACAGCAGCTTCTCCAGCTTTCACCATACTTGTACCTGGAGGAATAGAGGGGGTGAACAGGCATGGGCAGAACATGAGGGGTGTTCAGCTCTCAGCCTGCACATCTATCTGGATGTTCACATGTGATAGTAGCTGAGAGGCAGGTGGGTAGCTTGCCTGTCACCTAGGAGATGCACACATACAAAACCCTGTGCCCTTGAGGAGAGAGCAGGTGGTGCCCTGCACAGCCTCAGTTTACTGCTCATCCGGGGTATCTCTCCAGGCAGCACCGTACAAGGCTCCTGCGGGGAGCAAAGAACAGCCCTCACGCTTCACCTTCGCTGGTGCGCGTTGTGAATTCTGAAACAGTCAAGTTACTGCCGAGTGCATTGGCATCGTATTACAGAACTCCAGCCTTTGGTGTTAAAAGGGTTAATTAAACCAGAAAGTTATTTCTATTTCCTTTTTTGCTTAAGGTCAAAATGAGTCTGGAGTCGCCGTCCACAATGGTAGAATATATTTAGTTGGCGGCTATTCGATTTGGACAAATGAGCCTTTGGCATGTATCCAGGTGAGTGATTTAGGTTTCTTTTACTCTTTTCCAATAATTTTGCAAGGATACGTTTTGCACAGAGGTTATTCAAAAAGGAAAATGCATGTGAAGTGGAGAGATTAAGGATGTTTCTTATGCAGCCACTGAACCTGCATAAACACAGAGAGGAAATACTGTGAATATTAAAAATATTTCCAGGTGAGGCATTAGATCCATAAGATATTCTAGTAAAACAGGGTTGAGGAGTCTCTCCTTTGTCAAGGTTTGGGTAAAATGGTGGGTATATATTCTCAGGTTACACAATCAAGTTCCAAAGGAAAAGGGTTGCAGAAATGGATGATGGGCTAACAATTTTTCAGCCTGCCTTGTGATTTTTTTTTTTTTTTCCCCTCTCCAAGTTGTCTTTCTGAAGAGCAGCCAGAGTTAACGAGTTGTTCTTTGACAAAGTTCAGTCAGCCTGCAACCTGCCCTAGCGCTTACTGCTTCAAAGCTTGAATGGAAGCTTTTTGATCCCTGCTGTAGGCAATAGGTTGTCCAACAAACTCTGCTACTCTCTCATCTTGTGGAAGAGAAGCTTGCCAGCAGATCCATGGCTTTCAGATATTCCTGTACAGAAATCAGGAATTCTTACCTCTCTGCATTTTTCTGAGTGAAGCAAATCTGCATCACAGCCGTCACTTTGTGACCAGCTGGGCAGTCGAGGCAGAAACTCTTGTTCACATCCCAGTTTCTGCACTTTTGGTGATAAACAATTTCATTAGCTTGCAGCTTTGGGGATTTTAGGATTTAACTTCCAAACTGTCCCATAAGACTTGAAGTTAGACTTAGCATGAGAAGGGAATGTATGAGATGTCAAGCTGCTGATCTTATAATGAACACTTACTAGCATGAGTTTGTAAAGGACAGATTGTGCACGATAAGCAGTTAAAACTATGTTCTTGTCATGATATAGTTGTGTTTTACTAAATTGTTGGATGCTGTACCTAGCAATTATTGGAAAAATTGATTCAAACTGGCTTGGATAACACTATCTGAAATAATGTGCTTCAGATGGAGTAATAGCATGATATCAAGGGGGTGGCAGTCCTCTACCAACATGCTCGTTTAAAATCAGCAGGTACTTTGCTATATTGCACCTGGGTTTAAATACTGTTTAGTGACAGATGAAAACGATCCTGGGATCTTGCTTTCTTAAATAGACATTTGTCCTCCTTCATGAACTGGTCATGAACTGGCAGCCTGCCCGTGACAGTCCCCACACTAAAGGGGAAAGTAGCGTAACGAGGGCTTTGGCAGAGCTGTCCGTGCTCCCTCTTCACAGTTGTTGGCGTTGTGCCCGGCTTTAACTACTAAAACTAGCCCTTTTATCTTCAAATTCAGCAAATTTGAAGCCGGTCTCTCCTTTTCAATAAAAAAATCCACTATTTCCATATATCTTTATTTTCTCTAAAAGTCATTCATTTATTTGGCCTTTCTGACCTCGATAGAGCTCCCTTGCTCCCTATATACCAAGCTGGCAAACGATTCCTGCTTTGTGGGAACAGCAGCGTTTCTGTGCAGAGTACCTCACTTGCATGGCTGCACATTCTGCTGCCAGGAAGCAGGTTCCAATGTCGCTGTCTGCTACTGAGTGCCTGAGCTAGCATAGGATTTGGGTGATGAGGACAGTAATAAATCACCAGAGCTAGAAATACAATCTACAAGTGACGTGCAATTACCTTTCTGTTGGGATTAATAGTACAAATACGCAGTGCGTGCCAGCAAATTTGTTTCGGCTTTCTTCTGTGATCCCTGAAATATTGTATGATTTGACCTGCAGGTGCTGGATGTTAGTAAGGAAGGGAAGGAAGAAGTCTTCTATGGGCCTACACTCCCCTTTGCTTCCAACGGAATAGCTGCGTGCTTTCTTCCAGCTCCTTATTTCACATGCCCCAACCTGCAGACTCTGCAAGTGCCTCACCACAGGATCGGCACAGTGTGAGACAAGGAGCGTGCACTTCAGCAAACCAGAAATGGAGGGAGGAAGAAATCAAACCCTCTGTATGGAAGGGTTTCTCTGGGTCAGTGAAAAGAATCAATCCCCACAGGCTGCTGCTTTACCTTCACACATTTGTCTTAAAGTCGGATCACAATAGGCAGGAAGGAAGCTATAAAAACTGTCTGCAGTTTCTCTCCTCTGCCTCAGAGGTAGAAGCATTTACATGAGAGCGTTTGGCATTTCTGCTGGTGACTACTTGCTACCTGTCTCTACTTCATTTTCTTATGCAACTTCATAAGGCATTGTGAATGCTCTCAGCTCCTCCTGGGCTGCTCTTCCGTTGGAGTCTGCACGTTCAGTTGTTCACCAATAGCACTTTCAAAGCTGATAGAAAGCTGTGTTTATGTTGACAAAGATATCATACTATGGTAATTATGCAACTTACTTGATACCTTTAGCAAAAAGAATAACAAATGTGTTGACTTCCAATTCCAAACTCCATCGTTTACAGTTTCTCATTTAATAATACCTGGCTGAAAGACAAAGACACTGAAGCCTCATGGTTAAACCCAAGTCTGAATTGAGTGTTTGTCTGAGAATCTAAAGATCATTTGGGATGTCATTTACCAAGGTCTACTACCAAATAAATGCTACCTTCTCTCATATGATCAATTCCTCCTGACAGCTGCAGTCTTTTAATGGTGGAGAACAGCCTCTTTACTGTATAATTAAAATGTGCCATTTACTTAATATTTTTAATATCTAGTTTGCAAGGGGTCACCACATTTACAATTATCAACGAACAGTCTCATTTTGTCCAACATATGGTCCCACAAATCACTGGTCTCCAGAGGCTAAACAGGTGTGGAACAATGTCAATATTTATTTATTTATTCTTTCCGTTTATATAGTGTGTCTCCATTCTGTGCTCCAGGTATATGCCAGCTCACAATAAATACTCTAACCTGTTATATTTTGGCTTTGCTTGGCTACTGCAGCCCCTGTCTCTTATTTCTGTCTTTTATTTACATGTCTAACAACAACTTTGATGTTTGTAAATATTAACCAAGCATGTAATTAAATCTTTTGCTATTTATGATTTACGGGTACTCTGCACTTCTCTGCTTTACCTACTGATCTGTTCCCTGCCACGGTGCTATCATCTGAGCAGACCTATGAAATTCCTACTGGCACTCGTGCAAATTCCATGTACAAAATATGCCGCAGCAGTAGCCGGTGCTTGCTGGACAGGAACAGGTTTGACTTCATCCAGTGAGCAGTGTTTCCAAATCAAATGCATCTTTTACCCTTGAAGGATCTGGTTAGTGATACAGGGAGGTGAACTTTATCACCATTTCCTTCTCCAGCTGGGCAGTGTACTCGGGGAACATCACCTTTTCTTTTCCGGTAATTTTCAGGTTAGAAAGTTTTGTGGGTTTTTTTGCAGAGTTTTCTCACTCTTGTTTCACAGAGCAGAGCTGCAGCTGCACAGTCTTTGCCCGGCACACTAACTTGAGTGCTAACAGTGTCTGCCTCTGCACACAAAGCAAGCCTACATCCAGGCAGTACTCTGCTCTAACTACACGGGAGCTGTATAGGCTGTGTTTCAGGAATTTAGTTTTGTTTTAATTCCTTTGATCTCCTGGAAATCAGCATGCAAGGGCCCGTGCTCTTTTAGACTTTAAAAATCTGACTGCTGCCCTGGCAAGCGTTGGAAGTTCTACTTCGTGTGACTTGCGGGGACACAAACATTGCACGTCTTGTTTTCAAGAGGAAGGTGGCTAAATAATCAAAATGTGCGTAGGGATCCTGGGGACTGAGCCTCATCCTGGAGGTACCACACCAGGTGAGTGATCAGCTTCTGTTCCAGGTGCAGAAGGGATGTATGCTTGCTGTTTCCCAGGTGGTGGGAACATTAATTTCTTAGCCTTTGTAAAGCTCAGTGTGCTTCCAGACCATAGTGTGAGGTGTGGTTTGTGTGTCTCAACTTAGTTTCGAGGCTGTTACTCCCCGGCCTCACAGCTTACCGCAGCTGTAGCTACAGATTAATTTCTAAACTGCTCCTTCCGGAAAGCGAGGGATTACGCTGGATTGGGGCGGCAGCAAGCTGTGACAGAGGCCCGGACTGGAGAAGTGGAGGGAGGCAGCTTCCTTATGCAAAGCAGCATGTGCCTCTTGGTTCGAGGACTGAAAGGCAGGAGTATATAGCAAGAAAGTTATTTATTTAGCACATTTGTTCTGCCCTTTTGAGGCTGTTGCCGCTGTTGTCACCAATTGTCTGGACTGGCGAATGGGAGTTTTAAACAGCTGTGCAATTGCATTAAATTAGTTAAGGGCATCACAGCCACAGAGCCTCAGGATAACACATATGCTCCTGTCAGTGTCAGGATTCTGCTCTGGCTCTCAATCGTCAGGCTCCTGTGATTACAGAGAAGTCTTTCATGACAGCCTCTCAGCCCCTAAGTTTTTGTGCCACTCGTTCCTATCTGGGTCTTTTTGCTTTTGTTGCAGGACCTACAGGACAGATGGGGGTGCTTTGCTGCACCTGAAGTTAGAAAATGCTACATAGCCCTTGCCAGGTGAGCAAAGCCTGGTTAGATATTGCCAGGTAAGAAAAGAGAAATGTTGATGCAAGAGCAGGCAGCGGGTGCCAGCAGCGGCTCTGCTCTGGCCAAGGGGACTCTGCTGGAGAGGAGCAGGGGGTGGGAGAGCAAGGCTGGCTTCACCTGCCACTCCTGCGCAGGAGCCCTGCCCACAAAGCCAGCTGAAGCGTCTGAATCTGCATGTCCTCGCTCTGCCATTTGGGCCACAAGGTCTTCAGAGTGGTACTGAAAAGCGTTTGTACTTTTATGCCTGTGTTGTGATCTCCTTTTTGGGGCCAGTCCCATAAAGAGAAATATTTCAGCCCTTACATAGTATACTTCACTTTTGACTGCTAAGATATGTTATCAGCTCTTCTGATCTATAAATAACCACAATGGCAATCAGCTGCTTTGTGCTTTTTATCCAAAAAAGACACAATTTCCAGAAGCAGCAGCACCACACCCAAGATCAGATCAGTGTTTCATATCCAAGCACCAAGGACCAAAGAAATACTTCTTTGTTATGAGCCAGGGTGCAGCAAATCTGCCTCTGTGCACTACTGTTTTTGCAATCCTAGTTGTGGCTTATGATTTTCCTCTGAACTTGGCAGCTTTCAGGGAAAGTGCCTGACTCTCAGCATAGTTCAAACTTCTGTGACTCTTTTTCCTCTAAGTTTTGCCTTCCCTTGTTACCCTCCCCCAAACCTGTACAGACATTTAGTACATAAGTTGCAGAATCGTGGAGAAATAGATAATTGAATATTCACACATGCAGAAACAACACAGGCAGAATGTGGAACAATGTGGAAACAAGTGCAAAAAGAGGCGGCATCTGTTTATTGAAAATTAGAATGTAGAATAAATTAAGAGGGCAAGGTTAAAACACTTCATCTGCAGGCAGAGTTTGTAGGGGAGGAAGACTTTGCAGGAAGTTTAGCATATAGACTATATAAAGGGCTTATACAGTTTTATTTTTGAAAAATAAGCCTTTTTATTTTTTCCCAAGGACACATTTTAAAGGGGAAAAAAGTGTCCACATAAAGAATGGTTTTCCAAGAGAGATTACTATATAGAGTTGTTTCACAGTAATGCCAGAATTAAAATGCTTAAAATGTTAACTCTTACCATGGCTAGATTAGCCTATGTTGCAATAATTAAAGTACTGAAGAACAGAGTAAATATCCTCAGCAGTACCCTCAATTCATGTAAGCAAACAATGTGCTAATTGTTCCACCAGTGCCAATACAGGTCCTTGTTGGCCCTTTCTACAATGAATAATGAATTTAGCAAACTTGAATTCTTAATACCTGTTTGGGTGACATTCTACAGGGAGGGGAGTTAGGTCCAAGATAGTGTTCCATGGACTGAAAGAGGCAGTGATTGTGGTTGTGACATGGAATTACTCTGCTGGCATTTCCCAAGGCCTGCAAGGACACCACATTTATGAATACAGGATCTGAGTTTTGTAACTGGAGTTTTTTGGGGTTTTTTTTCATATATACCTTCACATTTTTTACATTAAGTCTATAAAAGGTTTACCATTTTAAAGCTGCTCATGTAAACAAAAGCCATATCCTAGTCATTCATCATAAACCAAGCTTAATTATGCTAGGACATATTGACACTGCATCAGATTTTTAATCTTCAACATAATTTTATAACCATTGCTAACAGATGGGCTGATTACACTGAATTTGAGTTTTAAGTAATAGTTAAAAATTATAAAATATGATTAAACTGAAATGCATACATAATTTTGAGAAGCTACTGAAAGAAGGAAAAACCAGAGTGCAATAAACCCTCTTTTCTGTGTCCTGAGGGAAATACACTGCATTTAGGTGGACAGTTAGTTATCAAAGTTCCTTAAATTACTCTGTAAGCAGCGTATGCTATTGGCAGCTCCTCTTCTGTGCAATTACAACAGATATGCAGAGCCTTATTCTTTCCATAGGTCTGCTGCTCTATTCCAGCATAAAAGGCATAAATTTTTCTATTTCAGAAGCTCTTTTATTGAAACAAGTGCCTTCCCCTCTCTATTCTTTTTTGTCATTGAAAATGAAAGCAAGGAGTAATTTAAATTACCATCTTCCTGCTCTTTAATAACAATAACAAATGGGAAATTCTTATAGAGGGACAGCTTTGTGGGACTAATGGAAGTTGCATGTGAATTTTGAACAGAAGGTGTCTGTTTTTTTCAGTTACCACGTTAAGGTTACTAAAGGAAGAATAAGGCAGACTTCCCTCTCCCTGCCATTGTTCATGATGTGCTGGGCATCTCTTTCATATCACAAGGATGATAATGGGTCAGAGGTGATCAGTATCCTGAATTCTGGAACAGGGAAAATATAAAAATGAAATACTCTCTATTCAGCTCTCAGTTCTATCTATTCCAAAAAGAAAAGGGCGTAGTAGTCCTCTTATATCCTGGAACAGTCCTCTGGCCAATGAGAACAGCATAGTAAACGCTCACAAGACTCAGGCCTGCTCTACTTTAAACAAACAGGTCTCCTGTCACCATTATTAGCGTTTCTAAATGAAAGGAGATATTGGGCACAGAACATGCACCAGGCTTGGGGAAAGAAAAAGCTTACTCAGATTCAGTATTTTGTTAAAACTCCATTGATATATGGTGATCATTAATGTTCAAAATGTAGTCATTAATGTTCAAAATGGCTTAATATCTCCAACTTTTAATATACAGGAGGAGAGCAGGACTAAGCCCAGGTGTATAGTTGGTGTTTCTCTGACTTTCATTAGGTACTCTAGCTACAACTGTATTTTCAGGATCTTTTCACCCTCAATTATCAAGTTACAACTGCAGTAAACGTCCATCCTTGCAAGCAATGTTACTGTAAGAGAGACCCTTCCCATCCAATAAGTAAAATGCTGCCCTAGTGCTACAAAAATGCAGTCCCAAAGGAGTATCCTATAAAAAGTGCAATCTAGGTC